TAAAGTAAGATTTCTAGGCCCTACAAAGCAACCAATACAAAATATAAAAAAAATAAAATTCAAAGTAATGGAGAAGAAGAAAAAACAACCACTACATTTTAATTACCTCTCTTTCTCTTTTTGCTAGTCCCTTCTTGAACCTCAAAACATTCACCAACATTCATCCAAGTAGTGTCCTCAGGAAGGAGTACATATTCTTTTTCAGTGATCCACTCATCATCAGATTCCATATCTGAGAGAGAAATAGGATCATAGGAATCACCCTCTAGTATTCTCTTTTGGTGTCTTGCCTCCAATCGAAGATTGTACTTCACAAACACAAGTGCACTTAATCTTTGTTGCTCTAATCGATTTCTCCTCTTAGAGTGCACCTGGTCAAATGTACTCCAATTCCTCTCACATCCAGTGGCACTACAAGTCAAGCTAAGGACGCGGATAACAAGTTGTTGCAACTCTGGACAACATCCTCCAAATGATTCCCACCACAAGGCTATAAAAAATTACAATAGAATACTCTATTAACTAACTTAAGCAGTTGCATTCAAATAACTAACTTAAGTTAAGTTACCACTAACCAGGTTGTTTCTTCTTCCTCATTTGGATTGCCATGTCCATTCCAAACATCAAATCAGCATTATGAAAGATATCTAATTGTTTATCAACTTTTTCTCTCATAATAGGATTTGGGCACATTCTCTGAATAGTCTGATATAGTCCCATCTTTATCTCATAGTCCGCACTACCGGTGTAATGAAACCTGAAATAATTATTTTGATTTACAATGATCATTGATCAGCATACAATATATAGATATAAAATGATATAAAAATTGAGAAAATTAAGTCTTACGCGGGATTGAGATAATAGGCAGCTGCATGAAGAGGTCTGTGTAATTGCATGTTCCATCTAGTGTCAACAATAGTCCATATGGGCTCATAGTGCTTCTTCACATTACGAAAATTCTTTTGGATTTGTTCCTTTGCCTTGTCCATTGCCTCATAAATATACCCCATGGCAGGCTTTAGATCCCCATCTACAAGCCTCAACACCTTCACCAATGGCAACACACACTTCAAGCAATACTTGATTGATCCCCAAAAATTTTGGTCAGCTAGTATAATATCCATCACTTTTACACCATCTCCCTTCTTACAATATTGACTTCTCTGCCATTCCTCAGAAGCAAACATTGCTCTAAGCCCAATTTTATTTTCAAATAAACTCCTTAAAGTTAAATATGAGGTGGCAAATCTGGTCACACAAGCTCTCACCAAATCCCTTTTCTTTGTATACTTTCTCATAAGATTTAACACCCAAGAATGTCTATAAATGTAAACTGTGATTTTCCTTGCCTTTGACATTATATCCTTGTGCAGAGGAAGGTCCCCAATATCCGTCAAAATGAGATCTAGACAATGTGCACCGCAAGGAGACCAAAACAACTTTTTCCTCTTTGCCATTAACAACTCCCCAGCTTTTACATAAGCCGATGCACTATCAGTTACAACCTGAACAACATTATCCTCACCAATCTCTTCTACCATTGAATCTAAAAGCTCAAAAAGATTATCCGCATTCTTACAAATACCTGAAGTATCAATACTTTTAAGAAACACACTTCCTCTAGGACTATTCACTAAAAAATTAGTGATAGAGCGATGTTTCCCATCAGTCCATCCATCAGACATAAGAGTACAACCCGTCCTTCTCCACTCTGCTTTATAATTTTCCATCAACCCACCATTAATCAAATTTGTTTCTTTTTTCAAAAAAGAACATCTCACCTCATGATACGATGGAGGTTTCAATCCCTTACCAAACGATGCAACAGATTCTAACATTCTTACAAAATATGGATCCTTTACCAAATTAAAAGGAAGGGCATTAGCATAAAAACATCTACAAATATCCAAGCATACATCTTCCCTACCCTTTTTCTTCAACATAGTATTCAAAGTAATTGTGGTGGTTGGCTGTATTTTATCAGCAGTAGTACTACCCACACTGCCACTACTTTTCGAATCCACAAGACTCATATCTTTGCTAATTGCCCTATCATCCAATAATTGCTTAAAAAATTCAGTTACTTCCTCAGGGCAATGCTTACACGCTGCTACATCTTTGCGATTACTTGCCAAATGATTTTTCATTCTTGAAATGCCTCCCCAATAGACATTTGCACAATGAATGCATTTCAATTTCAACCTTGATCCTTCTACTTTGTCACAATGTTCCCATGTGGGATCATTAGCAAGTTTTTTAGTCATTTCTATATGAAAATTGGATGCAGGTGATGCCACTGTTGCACAAAATTAAAATTAATCAAGATTCAGAAATTTTTATACAAAAAAATTTATATACATTTGGCTTTGTAAATAAATTAATATCATTACATACTGCACAGGACCAACGATCAATGGAGACTGGGAAGAAGAAGAAGAAGAAGAAGAAGAAGAAGAAGGAGTACCTGGAGAAGGAAGAAGGCAGCGATCAACACCCACAGTCGGAGACAAGCAATCACCCACAGACGAAGACCGGCAATCACCCACAGTTGGAGACCACCCACAATCGATCACCACCCAGACTCGAAGACCACCCACAGTCGAAGACCACCCACCCAGTCGGAGACCAGTCGAACACAGTCGAAGACCAGTCACAGTCGAAGACCACCCACCCAGTCGGAGACCAGTCGAACACAGTCGAAGACCACCCACAGTCGAAGACCACCCACCCAGTCGGAGACCAGTCGAACACAGTCGAAGACCACCCACAGTCGAAGACCACCCACCCAGTCGGAGACCAGTCGAACACAGTCGAAGACCACCCACAGTCGAAGACCACCCACCCAGTCGGAGACCAGTCGAACACAGTCGAAGACCACCCACAGTCGAAGACCACCCACCCAGTCGGAGACCAGTCGAACACAGTCGAAGACCACCCACAGTCGAAGACCACCCACCCAGTCGGAGACCAGTCGAACACAGTCGAAGACCACCCACAGTCGAAGACCACCCACCCAGTCGGAGACCAGTCGAACACAGTCGAAGACCACCCACAGTCGAAGACCACCCACCCAGTCGGAGACCAGTCGAACACAGTCGAAGACCACCCACAGTCGAAGACCACCCACCCAGTCGGAGACCAGTCGAACACAGTCGAAGACCACCCACAGTCGAAGACCACCCACCCAGTCGGAGACCAGTCGAACACAGTCGAAGACCACCCACAGTCGAAGACCACCCACCCAGTCGGAGACCAGTCGAACACAGTCGAAGACCACCCACAGTCGAAGACCACCCACCCAGTCGGAGACCAGTCGAACACAGTCGAAGACCACCCACACAGTCGAAGACCACCCACAGCGATCACCACCTACAACGTTCACCACCCACAGTCGATCATCACCCACAGTCGATCACTACCCACAGCGATCACCACCAATAGCGATCGCCACCCACAGTCGATCACCACCCACAATCGATCACTACCCACAATCGATCACCACCCATAGCGATCACCACCTATAGCGATTGCCACTCGTCGTCGATGGCTGAAGAGAAACCAGAGACAGTCTGACTAGCGAAGGGCAAATATGTGAGAAATGAGGGATTTTTTTTTTGTAACCCTAACCACTGAAACGACGTCGTTTCAGTGGTTATAGGGATTAAAAAAAAAANAACTTAAGTTAAGTTACCACTAACCAGGTTGTTTCTTCTTCCTCATTTGGATTGCCATGTCCATTCCAAACATCAAATCAGCATTATGAAAGATATCTAATTGTTTATCAACTTTTTCTCTCATAATAGGACTTGGGCACATTCTCTGAATAGTCTGATATAGTCCCATCTTTATCTCATAGTCCGCACTACCGGTGTAATGAAACCTGAAATAATTATTTTGATTTACAATGATCATTGATCAGCATACAATATATTGATATAAAATGATATAAAAATTGAGAAAATTAAGTCTTAC